TCCTGAACTCTGTCAACTCTGTGGCTGGGCTCTGTGGCTGGGCCTTGTCCTCCTCTTGGCCGCGCTCCTGAACTCTGTCAACTCTGTCTGTGGCTTCCCCAAACAGTTTACTGTTGGGGTTCTATCTTAGAAAAAAAGAGCTGGCCACACTGACTGGCCGCGCCCCTGGACTCTGTGGCCGGGTCTTGTCCTCCTGTTGTCCTTCTCTTGTCTTGCTGTTGTCCTCACTGACCAGCCCTGGGCACACTGACTGGCCGCGCCCCTGAACTCTGTGGCCGGGCTCTGTGACCGGGTCTTGTCCTCCTCTTGTCCTGCTCTTCTCTTGTCTTCTCTTGTAGCCAAACAATTAGCGATGTCGATGCCGACAAAAATCATTGATTAAGCAATTTGCTCTGTACCAAGAAATCGTTTTTGATTAATTATATACCTAGAACCTCCAACAACCACAAATTTCTGCCTCGAGACAAGTCTGCCTCGTTTGCAAAAGTATGCCTCGTTTGCAAAAAAGTGCTCGTTTATGTTTTGTCATGTTTCGTCTCACCCTCCACAACAACCCACAACATGCACAATCACACTTTGTCCTGGGCCTTGCACACAGTCATCAGCCGGGTAGCCCAGCTGGATCCGAACGCTTGGAAGCTTTCCGGGAAGCTTTCTGCCATTGAAAGGCATATTCAATCAACACCTTTTTCAGTGTTGCCACAATGGCCAAACTGTGGGTCCGGCGTTCTCCGGCGTTCAGCTCTCGCCACTCTCCCAATAAAATCTTCATCTGACCAACAGGCCAGAGCACCCAAACTTAATACAAACCGGCACTCAGGATCCTCTAAAGGATATCGAAGGTCAAGCCTTATGTGAAACACATGAGTTGGGAAGGTCTTTGCACACCACATCACCGCTAAGTCTTACATTAGTGCTTCTATGTGGCACGCAGTGTTGCATCATGTGTACTTTTGGGCGAAGATAGTAGAGGCTCCAATTCTGTTGCTTGCTCAGGTAGGCCATGGCTCCATAAGCCTCCTATTAGCAGAGCAAGCATTGATTTGGAGATTGGCGACAACAATCAGCTTTTGTAAGCCTAGTTTGTAGGATTGGCGACAACAAGGAAAGCTTACATGCTTCTTGAGCAAGGTTCTGTCATAGACCACCCATCTGCCACAGCTTGCTCTGCTTCTTGGCGGGTCAGCCAAAGCTTGCCATAACATGCACGGAAAAAGCGGTTGCTAACGTGCAGGCTCCATTTGACCACTCTGAAAAGATCTTGGCAATTGTCCTAAGCTTTAGCACGTGTCCAACAGGCGAATGGAATGGAAGAGCCAATGCCCACTAGAACTGCAAGAATAGAAAGGTTTACTGGTATTTCCAAGCAGGTATCAGGAACCATGTCAGCTGTCACCTGTTCAAGGACATCCTCCAACCATCTAGCTATCAACGAGGCATCACTTCCCTTTCCAAGGCCACGCGGATAGTCTTGAAGCCTGAGGGGTCATGAAACATGTTTGAGGCCTGTTGTAAGCTTAGTCGACAATGCCACCAAGAAAGGCTTACTGTCCTCCGAGTAACGATGTGATTTTGAGTTCAGACTTGGAAAATTCCTTGATTGTAGATGTTTTGTGACGTCGCTGGCACCATTCATTGAAGGAAGCAAAAGCGTCTTCAAGTTGTTCTTCAAATGGGGCCCGTGAAAACAAAGAACATCTCACTGCTAAGAAGATTAGATGGCTGGCTAGCTCATCCTTGCCATATCCTGCAATGGCATAAGTATGGGCAATGTCCGTCTTGATTTGTGCGACACTGTCTTGATGAGGTTGGATACTTCGGAGTGCAGCTCGAGGGCCAGAATGGAACGGACTCTCAGCACGATCATTACGGGAAAAAGCTCGCGTTGATCCATTGGCTGTCAAGTCGTGCCAATCCTCAATTTCACCGAGTTTGGGTGGGGGAAGGGGCAGCAGGTAGAGTCACAACTCCTTCAAACCAGAAGGTATATCGATAAGCTAAGGGTCTGTTCCTTCGCACAAGTGGCATATCCTTCGGGAAGTGTAGCCAGTCTTCAACTTGAAGGCCGTTCTAAGGAACGGCCAATCTCCTTTTGTCCCACAGTATTGCCAATACCACGTCATGTTTTGGCCTTCAAAGTTCACCTATCAGGGACCATATTGAGGAGACCAAGCTACCTATGATCATGCAACCATGCAAGGTTTTGCGACATGTACCCCCGCACCTGTACCCCTTCTTGGCTGGCAGCATTTAGATCTGCAACCAAGGCTTCCAGCAGAACCTGTATTGTTTCCCCTTTTCCAGCGTACCTCTCCGATGGAATTGAAGTGTATATCATCCTTGTCAAATAGGTGTGCCTTGGAAACCATGACAGTGTCCACCACAAAATCACTACAGTAGTGCCAGTGCCAAAACTTCCCCCTCCGAAGAACAACAAATAAGAAGAACTTGCCAAACATGTAGAGAGAGTACTCTTTGGAATTGAGCTTTTCCCCTTTACCGAGACCAAGAATGGGCTGAATGCTGACTACCATCAGGGGCCGCTTCACTTGCCCACGGCCCTCATCGCCGTGCACAAATAGTGGAATTGTTCTCGTTGGCACGATTGGAGCGACAGCAGGGTCCTGATATTGGTATCTGGACCAGAATTGGCTCAGCATGGACTCAATAGCTGGAAGGTCTTCCAGCCTATGACCTCCCAAAACTTGCATGCCACGGTAGCTTGGGTGCTCCAAGCACACCCGCATCCAATCCCGGGGCATCAGGGTCGGCCAAGGTTCCCAAACAATCTTGTTTCTCCTTCTAAATTTCCTGGCTCGCAATGGTGCTTGCACCCTTGTGATCGGCACTTGTAGATTGATACCCTTCTTCTCTACAAAACGATGAAGGTTCCTACTTTGGTTCTTCTTCTTTTTGTCAAACTTGCTCAAGGCCGCCAAGTCAGAGATGGCCGGTTCATAGACTCCTCAGATCATGATAGCATGAATTTCGTTCAACCCATGTGTTTTGCAACGATTTCCCTGCTCAATATACATTGCCGAGGCTCCATGACGGGAAAGGAGTTTCTCCGTCTTCTTGGCCTGGGATACAACGTCCTTCGCCGTAGCCTCAGCTGGAGAGACAAGATCCGGAAACACGGCAGTCTTTGGTCGCAAAACTTCGTGACAAGAAACTCCATGGGCAAAGTTGGCTATCATATCTCCCGGAAGGTCGTCATCTGATTCACCAGATGAATCAGAGCAACCCCAGCAACCTTCACAGACAGGCCAACAGAAGTATTCCCTTTGCATGCTTGTAGAGTTTTACCTGAGGCTACACAAAAAATACTCTTAATCTCAAATGTTTCCGTCAAACTGTGAAACGCAGGCCCGCACCTGTCCGAGTGGCCAGAGAAATTCCCCGATGACCTGGCATCCCAACTAGATTGCATGGGGTGTGCTTGAGTGGGAGGGCTTGTTCGATACCATGTGATTTTTTCAAACACCATGCCACGACTGCCAGGGCATGGTTTTTCCAAGCGGGTCATATCTGGATCACAATGGTAGATCTGAAACACACCAAATTAGCAGACACATCTTTTTTGGTGGGCCTTTGTGTCAAAAGAGCTGCGGCGCGATCCATCCCCAAACAAAAAGCTTGCTATCCACAGTTGATTGTTTTCGCATCACGCCCTCAGCTCGAACACAACCCCAGGCACCACCAAGCATCCGCTTGCTAGGACTTAGGGCGCACCCTGCTGGCTAGGCTTGGCCGTTTTGGCCCCCTTGGTCTTCCCCTTGTCGTCAGCCGATTTTTTTGACCGAGACTTCGGGTGGGACTTGGTTTTCGAATCGTTCTTAGCCTTAGCGGTCTTAGCGCTATTTGCCGGCTTCGCCTTCGACTTTGCAGATTGAGTGCCTCCTGCCTCCGATTTCACTCCCCTTAGTTGCCACCAGGGTGAACTGTGAAATGTAAAAACGGGTGGAAGGTGTTGGAAAGCAAGGCTCCAAGTCCTGCTTTGTGTGTTCACTATATGGAGCTACAAGCACGTACCGTGGAAGAACCCGACACCTCACTGTATTTTGTAGGTCCTGTGGTGAGATGTGGAAAAGGAGCTATCGATCGACCTATCGACTCCCAGGTGGAAGGCTGATATTGTTCTAAGGCTCCTTTAACGTTTGGGGTGCAGTAAAACTTGAAGGTTGGGATAGAACGGCTTCTCTTGAGGCAACTTCAGATACACTGCCAAAAAGACATACCTGTCAATGATTTCCTGCTGCTATTCCTTTAGCTAGCTTTGTTGCCCCAACCGTTGTGCAGGGCTAGGAGCTTTGAACGCACGAGCATTGCATTCATAGCCACATCCAATTTGGTGCACTCCACAAACTTGCCGGTGAGGTCGTCTCGCTTCGCCCTGGAAGAGATATAGGGCTTCAAGGGTGTTTGAAACACAGAGTTGCCAGTGAACACATTAAGCAAGCGACAGTGAATCTAAGCGAATCTAAGTGCATCTAAGAAACTTGTCAAAGGTCTCAGGGGACACCGTTGCTTCAGAAAGAACATTGGTCAGCGCTTCGTAGAGACTCTGCATCTTCCCATGGTATGTCGTCAAAGTCTGGTGCAACCTAGGTCATCCCAAACCAAGAAGTGACAGCCTAGTACAGAAAAGATTGCCCTTCCAATAGATTTGGTCAATGACTAAGGCATGTCCGCATATTGCGGCCCCGGAACGCTGAAGCTGTCGGGGCCTTGATGCCCTGAAGCCGCTCCTGGTATTGAAGAAGTCTGGACACAAATAGGTTGGAATATAATTGGTGGCACCGCACTGCATACAATCGGTCCTTCTCAGCGCAAATTTTATCAATTTTGCGTCCAAGTACTTCCACAAAGCTGGGTAGAATCTGGAGCGGACTGGACGAGCTAGTGATCGTAGGGAAACTCAGCCTGAGATAGATACTGGCATGGCGAACAACGGAGCTGTAAGAATGAGGCAATTCACTTGCAAATCAACCACAATGCAATTACATCAATGTGTTGTTGAAAGGAAACTTGAAGGACATCACACTTGCAGTGTTCCCCAGCTGCTCCCCTGCTTGCCCAGAGGTGATGGGAGCTGCTGATCCCATGCCAGGCACCACCGCAGTGCCAGGCGCGGCATTAAAGTCAACCAGATCGGAGTTGAAAAGAGAGCCCTCTGGGTCCTGGCTGACTGTCTTGGAAGTTGAAACATGAGCAAAAATGGCCCCACATGGCCCCACCAACACTTTCAAGCAAAAGGCTGCAAAAGCTTATAGGGCCGTTTTTCTAGTCTCTCCATGGCAAGCGTCCGAACATGGAAGAATTGTTTTTGAGCACCCCTCCAACCCCTCCTCAACAGAAATATTGCCAGATTGCTCTAGTTCCTCAATTTGGCTCTTATTCATTGAGAAGGTCTCCGACGCGATGATTCGAATTTCTTCTTCCCCATGAATTGGATTCACACGCCACTGGTTCTTCGACTTCGCCCACGCCCACGCTTTGGCAATCATACTCCTTGGCATGTTTCTAACTAACGTGTCCTGACCATCGACCCCACCTTGCATGAATTTGTTTATCATTCAGGTTAGACTCTTTGTGTATTTCTCGCATTGCTCGAGCTTGTTCTTTGTGTACCATCCTCCAGCCTTTTGCTCGCTGTCCTCCCTGATCTGCTTCTTCTTGAGAGCCAACTCCATGCATTCAAAGCTCCCGTGTTCCAGGAACATTTTCTGGAGCTCCTTGCCTCAAGAATATCGAGTGTTCACACAAACCCATGACACCTAAACACAATCCAAATTGCATGTATATATACTTACACCAGGGTGCGTCCAGCGGGGTCATTCCACATCTTGAGAGCCTCTGCTGAGCACTTGAGTCCACCCGCTTTGGGTTTGAAATATCGACGTAGCCTCAGGATATGAGCAGGTTAGAACTAGCCCTAGACAAATTTGTTTGGACATCACAACTGACTACCACTGCTTCCCTGCAGTCTAAAAGCTTCCAGTATGGATTCCCAGCACTCGATGCTACAGACTGTGTCTCATGTAACTCATCATCAGCGACGCTTGTGTTTGTCCGAGATGAGGGTGATGGGGCTGGCAAAGCCTCTACAGGTGACTTTGGCAGTGAAGCTGCTGCGGGTGGCACTGGCAGCACAGCAGGTGCGGGTGACACTGTCGCCTGGTGTGCCGGTGGGGCTTTGCCAGTCACAGGAGGATCTACAAAGGTATCTGGCAGTTGAGAGTCAATGCCAAAGCTTTCTGGCAACTGAGAGTCATTGCCATAGGTATCTGGCAGAGTGGGGTTGCCAGCACAAAACTGTCCGTTCTGTTGGGCAAAGCATGGGGCTCCTCAGATCATAACATAGAAACGCCCCAGACTAAGATGTCGATAGCCCAGAAACAAAACATATGCAGCTAAAGTATGAACTGTTCAGATTGGAGCAAGCATCCAGGAATGCCTGCGCTTGGTGCTTCAGTCGAAGCCTGATTAGACAACTTGCGGCGAAGAGCTTGGATCCGCTCTTGGCTTGCCTACAGGCACACAATCAAGAGAGGCTACAGAAACGCTGGAAACCCTGCAGTGTCACACACACATGCCTAAACCTAAACCTGATGGCCAAGCCACCAGAATTTTCTCCTGGAGTTCCCGCTTCCGGTCCGCAGGCACCACACCATCACACTTAACAGCATTCATGCCGTTCAACAAAGTCTCCGAAGAATGAAGTCGGGTGGTCATGTCAAAGCCCTTCAGCCAAAAGGTCGCTGAACAAAACACATGAGGGCAAAAAGTCCAAAGTAGATCCTGAAGTCTAGATGTGCAGCCAACAAATCGAATCGTAACGTCTTAAGGACCGATATGGACCGATATGGACCGATGCAGTCGAGATCAAAAATTTCCAAAAGAGGCAGATTCTAGATTTGCGCCTTTTTGCGCATATTTGCGCCTCATTGCGCGTATTTGCGCCTCGTTTGCGCCTCCGTTTTTTCCCGACAAAAGTGGCTAAAGCGCGAAAGTTCCGATCGAATTGCTGAAAAGTCAGCAAAACACAAACAAATTGGCAAGTCACACCTGGCCAACTAGCCAAGTACGATTCTTCTACACCACTTGAACGACTTGAAGAGCAACACTATGTGTGCTCTGTCAAAAGCTGCTCGTATTCTGCGCGGAGTTGTGGATCACCCAGCACCTGCCAAAGACATTGGTTTGTCATGGTTTCTTTGTTAAGTTGAAGAAAATGGGAGAGCATGATTCCTTCAAGCACCTCAGCTTTATAGTCGGCTACAAACTTCTCCATCGTTGATTGCCATTCAGGAGGGATCCTACAGAAAAGCATATGTGGTGAGAGAAAGGGAGAGCACATGAGAGCACACATGTCACAGAAAAGTGCACTACCCCCAAAAGTCCTTATATGTTTTGAGGACATTGCGTACAGCATTGGTTGCAACAAATTGGCATCTTCCCAAAGATCTCCCATCGGAAGGCTTTCAAATTGGGCTACAGGATCCAACTTGTTGACCTGCACTTTGAACCTCAAGTCCCGGTGCACAGCGGCCGCCAGGTGAGTTTCAAAAGCCTGCCGCAGACAATGTCCAAATCCAGAAGGATACTGCCTGGAGGTTTCGCAAGTTGGGTGGAGTTGGGAATCTGTATCCACCACCATGTTTTCCATGTGATTACTCTTTGGGCCTAGGTGTACTTTGAAGAAACATGTGCACAGCCAAGAAGCTGGGAAGATTTGAGCTGGCCAGTTCCATGAAATTTCACCTCGCCTTTTGAATTCACATAACGCCCTTTTTTCTCCGCTCATGCACGCTTAGTATGAAGAACTACCAAGAAAAGCTGTTTGCGAACATGTATGCAACTGGGGAACTGGTTAGTGTGCTGCTTGTCTTGGAGGTTCTCACATCCTTTTTCAATTTGCCCAAATCTAGCATACCAATTTCCTGCATGTTTGAATAGCACCAAGTCCGCTTGCTACTGGGTGCCCCGTGTAGGATCATCCAGAAAGCCGACCGCCAAACCTGAGATCCAGCGAGGTAGCTCTGTTTAAACAAAACAGACTGCATGCGTACAAACAGCAGCTCGAGGTCGAGGAACCCATGCCACAGTGTTGCACATCCAACTAAATCTTTTGTGGTTCTCTAATAGTGATCCATGTGGTTGTTCAACAACCCAGGCTATGTTGCGACTCATAGCGAGAAGAATGCATAGCACAAGCCTTAGCTGGGCTGGACCCTCTAATTTTTTCCAACCACCTTTGACAAATTGTTTGATGAATCTGTGCACTGCCACTCAATCAGTCGGGTATCCGAGAAATCATACATGAGGAGCCTCTCACCCACGCCAAAAAAAAATGTTTCCATGGATGTTCACTCTTGTTCTCCATGATGTTCCTCGGGCTGGTATGCCCCAACTGGAGCAGTCGGGGCCTGCTAGGAACAAGCCGCAGCTGTCCGTGTGAATCAGAATCCACATCGCCAACCTGAGGCAAGGAAATGCCGAGCGAAGAGGGATCGTTGGTTCATCCAACAAGTTGTTGGTTAGCAAACCTATAAGCTAAGTTGCACCAGGCCAGCGCTTCCTAAGAAGTTCATCCCAGATTTACAGTAATCCCAGTCATAGGATGCTGTGCTATACCCTGATTCGGTCCTGAGCAACTGAGGGCACACCAAGACCTACTACAAGAATCATATCGATATAAGAAAGGAACCGCTGTGTTTGGGTCTAGGTAAGGGGCATTTAGCAGTGTGTCTTTTCTGGGGACAGGACATGACACGCGACACTGCAGCCTTTCCACTGAACAACTCGAAGAATTGAAACCGCTCCGTAGGGTCATGGTCTGGCAACTGAAGCCATCCAACCAATAGAACCTGAGGTTGCCCATTTGGTTTGGTTCAAACTTAAATCTTTGAAAGCGCATCGAGTTGAGCCCGAGTTGAGGCCATGACCAAGGCAATGAAAGCCTCCAAGGAATCATCAGCATATGCAGAATCCCTTCCAATATAACATTTCAACACGCATGCAATAGACAGAGTTTGTTTCCCTAGCCTTAGGCGCTTGAGTGTGCTGCAGGGCGGTTACAGGATCCCACAGCATTGGTATTGCAGCGTTTGGAAAGCTTGGGCTGGTCACTGCAGCTGCGCAGAGATGAGTTTGCACAGCCATCTAATACATGTAAGTACTTGAAAAGCAAACGCAAATAATGAGCCACGGTTGACCTGCTAAAGCGGACTTCCTTCTCCAAGCTGAAGATGGCATCAGCCTGGAAGTTGGGAGGTTTTTTGTACAAGATCATCAACAATTAAACATATTGTTGCCAATGGTTCATAGCTGACAAGGTTGCAAAAACCTGAAAGAAGACCAGTGGAAAACTTTTCGCTCTCAAGCCATGGTGAAGTTGCATGGGATGGACCCCCACTGCACACGGCTCCGATGTAGGAATATCTAAGAACCCCAAAACAGCTTGGTCACTGTTATGGCCCCAATCCTGCATACAGAAGGTTTCACTTCTGTATGTGCACAGCCGTGTTCATCACGGCACCCACTCACTCGCACCAAAAAAATCAGATTGCGGCAGCTCACAAGGTGTTGTGATATGCCTTGGTCCGGCAAGGCAAATGCAGATGCAGCCCAAACTGCTAAGAGGCTAGAACAATATAAACAGAGCTAAGTTACCTCCTTCGCCAAATCCTTTGCTTCTTCCGTGCTCTTTCCTGCAGCAAGTGCAGCCCTTTTGGCTGTGTGGTAAGCGGAGCTTTTGCGAGATTGCCGCCGCTTCTTCTCTTCCTTCTCGTCCACTTCTCCATCATTGCTCTTTGCTATGGAAACGGGGGCGGACTCACCTGCCTCATCGAACTTTGAGGCCATCTTCCGCTTTGTAGATTTCCCCGCATTTTTGCTTTCCACTGGCTTGGGCTTGGTAGCGGCTGACTCCACAGCGGGCTCTTCTGCACACTTCTGCGGCTCAGAAGACTTCCTACTGCGCCGCTTGGCTGGCGGCTCCTCCTCATCTTTGCTTTCCACTGGCTTGGGCCTGGAAGCTTTCTGAGGGCCGCTCTTGCCTGACTCCTTGGCTGGTGGCTCCTTGCCTGACTCTGCAACCTCCTGGGGCACAGAAGACTTTCTGCTGCGGCCCTTGGCTGGCAGCTTCTCTTCAGAAGTTTTCTGAGTGCCTTCCTTGCCTGACTACTCTGCAACCTCCTGGGGCACAGAAGACTTCCTGCTGCGGCGCTTGGCTGGCTGCTTCTCTTCATCTTGCTCCTTTGCAACCTCCTCGGGCTCAGAAGACTTCCTGCTGCGGCGATTGGCTGGCAACTTCTCCTCATGTTTGCTCTTCACTGGCTTGCCGTCATTGCTGGGCTTCTCAACCGACTTCCTGTGGCCTTTGGCTGGTGGCTCATCTTTTCTGGACTTTGGTTTCGACGCCTTTCCCAGCTTTTCCTCGCTCTTGTCAGGCTCCGGCAATTTCTCTTCATTGAGGTCTTCCTTCTCCTCACCCTCCTCCTCCTCCTCCTGCTCCTCCTCCTCCTGCTCCTCCTCCTGCTCATCATCCTGCTTCGCATTCTTGCCGCGTGGCCTCCCCCTTCCACGTCCTCGTCCTCTTCCTCTGCCTTGAGCCGGCCTCCGTGCTCGCTGTTCGGCTGCCGTTACAGGCACAACCTTCTCCAAAACATCTTTTGGATACTCAATCACATCAATCACCTTCTTGTCAGCCTCAG